GGCCCAGGCGGGAGCGCGCAGCGGGCGGTTTTACCGGCCCAGGCCTAGGTTGCAACCTGGGAGGCACAACGCGCGTGCAAGAAGACCAACCCAGGCCGGCTTTTGCTGCTGGGCCGAGCGTACAGTAAAGAATTGAATCAATCTTTTGTTTTCTTTTTCCAGTAAATGTTTATTTCCTGAAAAATGATTAATGGCTCAAGAAAATTAGCAAAAGAATTTTTTCTGTGGGTAAAATTCATCAATTATGTTTGAGTTTCCACTGCAAAGTTTAATATTTATTATCTTCTAATTAAATTCGAACCAACGGAAGAATTTAATTTGAAGAGCAGTTATATTTAGTAAATTATGATTATGTTGATCCTCTAATTAAATTGAACCAACGGAAAAATTTAAATTAGAGGAGTAGTCAGTTTTGTTTAAGTCAGATTATGGTATTATTATTTTCTGACCAACGTTGATGATGATAATATTATAATGAGTTCAAGTTTAAGGTTTAAATCTCTGATAAATTTCACACCAACATGGTCAATTTTTCAGAAAGTAGATAAGGACCAAGAAATGCTCCTGAACTAATAGAATGTATTTTATTAACATGTTTCCGCTGTAATGAAGTTGATTATCTTCTAATTAAATTTGAACCAACGGGAGAATTTAATTTTGAAGAGTAGTTGTATGTATTTCAAGTTGATTTATGAGTTTTTATGCATTAATTCTATTTTCTGCCCAACGGAGATGTAGAATTGATGCAGAAGCATATTGTATGTTTTATTTTAACCGACGAGATCACTCGACCGCATGCCAACGGGCTGCAATGCTGGGGTATGTGAATAGAAAGGCTTGAGTCAAGCCAGTTTAGGACAATTTTTTGTTAGTTTACTAATTTGCTGATTAATTTGGAACCAACGGAAAGATTTAATTGGAAAATAAAGTATAAGTGAATGTTTTAGTCGTCATGACTAAGTTTTCATATAGATGTATCCCGCATGGGGAGAAGTTTTGGCATAGTACTTATGCTAGTCAATTCTGCATGACGGGAGAAGTTTTGTGATGATTCATATGTTTTGTATCCCGCATAGCGAGAGAAGTTTGGGTAGCTCTTATGTTGTTCTAGTATTGACCTTGGCACAATAGAAATGCATCGTCATGGTCAATACTAACCAAAATATAAGAAAAGATGTAAGTGTGACTTGCAAAAGCACTGCTAATAAAAGACCTCGTTGAGTTCTCGAAGTGAAATAAGGAAAGTGTACTCCTATACGAATCAAGAAATAACTATGTTCGCATGACATAATCATGTGAATGAAGTAAGTTATATGTGCCTCCTCGTTCACAGGTTTTCTTAATGGTTCTCAAAATTATGACAGTAAAGTTTATGCCATATTTCGAGGGGAAGAATATTAAGATCAATTAAGAAAAATACTCTTCATTAAGAGTGAGATAAAAATTAATTAAGAAAGATACTCTTCATTAAGAGTGAGATAAAAATTAATTAAGAAAGATACTCTTCATTAAGAGTGAGATAAAGATTAATTAAAATGAAACCATTGGAGGAGCTCAACGTCACAACAATGATACCCCTAAACAGAGAAATAGCTAAATTCCTAGACCTTTTAAAGTTTCGACAGGAAGATAGCATAGTCAGCCTCAAAGATGTTAAGGTGGTGCTTAAAGCGCCATATGAAGTTTTTAACGGATTAAACCCAAAATAAGATATTTGAATATACACCATCTTTAGAAAGGATGGGAAGATCTAGGGGAGCATGGTATGTAGAGGTATGTAGAGACCTAAGACTTGAAGAGAAGAGGGACTGCATGCCCACTCCAGTGATTCAAGAGCAACAAGTTTCTCAATACCTGTTGATGTTGTATGACTAATATAACACCTGTTATTAGCTCTTCGAAGAAGATGAATAATATTAACAAGGATCTTATAATATAGGAGCCTGTAGAATCAATTGCCTCTTGGCAATGAAGAGCAACAACACCCCCATATGAAAGTGCCAGTAGCTGAGGCCCTAGAAGGTCTCAAAGAATTAGTAAACCAGTTTTTCTGATGACTATGAAATCTATGCTAGTAAAGAAATTCAAATGAAGGGTGATCCCACCTCACTTGAAGAAGCCATGAGAAGCGTTTACTCGTTTAAATAGCAAGAAGCTATTAAAGTTGAAATAAATTCGATGAATACCAACGATGTTTGGGACTTAGAAGTAATCCCCAATAGAGCTAAAACAGTAGGCTGTTAATGGGTCTACAAGACAAAATATGGCTCTAAAGGGAATGTAGAAAGACATAAAGCACGACTTGTAGCAATATGCTTTACGCAAAGAGAATGAAAATATTACAATGAGAGTTTTCTCTCTAGTCTCATGCAAGGTTTCTTTTAGAATCATAATAGTGTTCATGGCACATTAAGATTTAGAGTTACATCAGATGGATGTAAAGACGTCATTCCTCAACAGGGATTTGTATGAAAAACGTTTACATGGCACAACCCAAAATGTTTTGTCATGGAAGAAAAGAACATATGGGATGCCGCCTGTAAAAATCCATTTATGGGTTAAAAGTAAGTCTCTAGATAGTAGTATTTGAGGTTGATAAAACAATGAGAAAGTTTGGGTTTTATAGAAAATGAGAAGGACAATAGTATTTATGCGAAGTTTAAGAATAGAAAATTTATTTTCCACATCCTGTGAATAGATGACATTCTACTCACTAGTAGTGATGTTAATCTGTCATTAAAGAAGAAGAAGTTTTATCCTCAAGTTTCAATGTGAATGATCTTGGTGAAGCGTCATTGGTTCTAGAAATCAGAATTCACCGAGAGAGAAGAAAATTGGGTATTAGGACTATCGCAAAGGCATACTTAAAAAGATTTTAAAGAAATAAAGTATGCATGCGAGTAAACCTACGCCTGCTCCTATAGTCAAGGGTAATAGATTTGAGAACTTTAAGTGTTCCAGGAACTGATATGAGATCGATCAAATGAACATGGTTCCATATGCTTCAGCTGTTGGAAGCTTGATGAGTGTACAAGTACAAGTAAGAACTTACCCTGATGTAGTTTACGTATCCGGGATATCTTGGCAGAAGTCCAGTCTAGATATAGATCACTGGAATAGAGTTGAGAATGTCTTATAATTTTGCAAAGTATCATAGGCCTCATGCTGAGTAAGAAAGAATAAGTACTCTCAAATAGTTGATGGTACAAATGTTAAGTCTTAACGAGATGTATAGTGAAATCCACAGCAGTTGCTAACACTCGCAGTTGGAGTATTATTGTGAAAAAGCTCCAAAGAAACAGTTGTGATGTCATCAGTGATACATACCATACCATAATATAGATTAACATGAGGCTTAAGAAACATGTAAAAGGTGGTTAAGGGAATTTGTACCCGGATTTAACAATGGTAGACAACAACAATAACCATTTAAAGTAAGTTAACTCCTAAGACAACATGTCAAATGTGTTGCCAGACACATTGACAATAAGTTATATGTTGTAAAGGAGAAAATCCAAAATCATTTTGAAAGCATTAAGCACATAAGTACCGAGTAAGTACTTGCGGATCCGCTTACCAAAGGCTAACCACCCAGTGCGTTCAGAGAACACACAGTCGACATGGGTTTATGGAAAAGCCTATGATTTCTGGATACTAAGGCCCTAGTTGAGTATCTATTTCAAAACAGAGAGGTACATTGTAGCTGTTAAATCCAATGGCAACTGACCGTGACGATGAGGCACGCTCTATACACTGATTTGTGATGAAATGGAAACAAGATAAAGTAAGTAGGTTAAGTTTAAGTCATAAGGTGAGATCAAGGGGGAGAATGTTAGTTTAATCTTCACCAATTGGCCCAACGGCCAATCGGACCCCTTGACCGCATCCTGATCAGGGACGCTTAATCGACCACTGGTCGGTAGGCCCATGTCACACAGCGCTATATATAAAGAGAAAGCTGAAGGCCAGGGCACGGGGGATGAGGTTTACCGCTGCCACTGACCCACCGAAGAACCCGAGAAGCCCCTCCGATGGCGGGCGCGCTGCAAGTGACGGAAAACGCCGCCGGACACGCCCCGTCCTCTGGACTCTACCAGGCTGCACTCCATTCTTCCTCCTCTACCTCCTCTGCCAACCTAGAAGGTATAGGTCTCTCTCTGTGTCTCCCTCTTCCGATTCATGTTCAAGATCGTTTTGAATTAACTAGTACCGGATTCACCCTACGATCTATACGTAGATGATCCTAAGAACTTAAGACAGCATACTGCAGGTGTGTCGAACCCCATCAATCAAATTGGGAACTAGACCCTGAATCAAACCTGCAGCACTAGCTCTAGATAGCATTGTAGATAAGGCATCAGCTACGAGATTAATCAGCAGAGGAGACAGAGGGTCTCCTTGCCAAGCTCCTAAAGAAATCCCCTCGCTCACCGTTCAAGTCAATACACGCTCTCCCTTCTTTCACGGCACTATTAATCCACTGTATCCATAGCTCATCAAAACCTTTTCTCCTCGTTACTTTCTCTAGGAATGACCAGCTTACTTTATCGTAGGCCTTCTCGAAATCAAGTTTCAAAATAACTCCAGGTGTCTTAGTCACTCTTAGCTCATGAAGCACCTCTTGAGCAATCACTACTCCCTCCAAAATTTTCCTCCCTGGAATGAACGCAGTTTGAAACGGGCTGGTAAGTTTGTCCACCACTTTAGTCAATCTTATTGTGAGAACGCTGTGTATTCGTTTTAGCCAGCGGCCTCATCTGAAGCCGGCGCGGGCGGCAGTATCCCCCGGCTAGCCGGAGGAATCCGCGCGCACGAGACGATTCTGTTAAGCTTGCTGCGCACAAAAGCTGGAGGCCTTCTTCGTTGCCGAATTTCCCGAAAGAGCCCCGGAACAAAACTACGGCCGGTTTGAACAACTGAACCGAACTGAGAGTAATTGAAGACGTAAATTGAGGCGGAGCCCGCGGCGGCTGGTCCCAGCCGCGACGACCTCGGGCCTCATGTTCTCCGCGGCTCGCCGCCTCCTCACGTCCCGCGCCCGCGCCTTCGCCTTGGCGGCGGCCGCGCCCTACTCCCACTCCGCCGGGGCGTCCCCGTCGCGGCCTCGCTTCCCGACGCCCAAGGAGATCCGTAGGGGCTTGGACGAGTTCGTCGTCGGCCAGGACAAGGCCAAGAAGGTTACCAATCACACTCTCCACACCTGCCGCCCTCTTCTCGTCGCTCTGCTTCTGGCTCTGCTGCTGTGGCCTCAGTATCTGCTCGTGTATTGGCATGAATGGGCTTTGTCGCGTTACTGCTTGTATTATAACGTAATACAATACAAGTCCGATCTGATGCAGTAACAAGTCAGATAATTTTGGGGTTTCCACGGAATTTCAGCCTGTACCTATCAACCTATGTGATCCATCGACTTAGCAGGGAACTTGGCCGTGCAGGTGCTCTCTGTTGCTGTGCACAATCACTACAAGAGGATATACAATGAGTCATCAAATAAGTGGTGAGGTTCTGGTAACTGAATTCGGCTTTTCAAAACTGTGTCGTGATTCTAACGCCGGATTACATCCTTGATTTGCGATCAAAGTTCCGCAAAGAGCTTGGTGCGTGGTGGTGGTGCTACGAGCTGTGATGATGACATTGAGCTTGAAAAGAGTAACATCCTTCTGATTGGGCCGACAGGGTCAGGTATTGTTTGCGGACATGTAAATCTATCAATCTATGGCTGTACAATGGTAATGTTTTGTGCTGATGGCTTTGATTTTTCTGTATAGGACAGGTAAAACATTGTTAGCAAAAACGTTAGCTCGGTATGTGAATGTGCCATTCGTGATTGCTGATGCAACAACAATTACACAGGTAATCTTGGCTGCTATGGCACGTGTTTTGGGCTTTTCCTTGATATACTTAGCTCCATTGATCCTTCATGCCATTTTTGCTGCCACTTTTTGTATAAGAGATAGGCAAAGAAGAGCCCCAGCTGATTGTTCTTGCTACTTTCTTTTTCCTGACGTGACAAATTGACTGATTTCTCAGGCTGGATATTCTGGTGAGGATGTGGAATCTGTAATCTACAAACTTCTAGCGGTATATATCAACCTTCCATTCTTTGATTGTATGTGGGCTTGATTATTTACTGTACTGTTGCCACTGTTTGGTAGGACCAACAGCTACAACTGTTGCATAGTCTACCCAATGTTAGTCTCTTTAAAGTCAGATCAGAAAGTTTCTTTCAAGTTAGTTCCACTATATCTTCAATGTTCCATTTGATTGTCTGGCAAACTTCAAGGGAACTTGTTGCATGAATGTTCACAATTCTAGTTTGACATAGTCATCAAATATTAGCTTGTCATTCTTAATGAACTTGGAGATCATTTTTATCTTTTAGCTGACATGTGCTACCTCTTAGGCTGCTGACTTCAATGTTCAGGCTGCAGAGCATGGTATTGTGTACATTGACGAAGTTGATAAGCTCACAAAGAAGGTTATTGGACAAATTAGCTCTGATCTTAATATTACCTCAACATGTAATTAAGTTAATTTCACCTACAGTAATCACATCTATTGCTACTTCAGGCCGACTGCCGTGAGGGTCGAAGGGATGTATCTGGTGAGGGTGTGCAGCAAGCGTTGTTAAAAATGTTTGAAGGAACAGTATGTGCATCTACTAATATTCTCCGCCACATTGTATATTCATATTTTCCATGCAGTAGTCACACTCCCTGTTTATTAGAGGAAAACAACATTTGAGAAACTGCACATGGTTAACTAACATTGACAGATGTAAACAAAGTAGTTGACCATACTTTGCCTCCTCAACTTCAAGTTTCATGTCATGATGTCTTTCTATATTGACTATATTTTGCTTTCTGAACTATTTCTTGTGTTTATTAGGTCATCAGCGTGACAAGAAAAAGAAGTCAAGATAATATACCCCAGGGTTATGTTGAGGTAATTGGTTGGACAAACTTATGCTCAGTCAGAGCAAACAAAATGTGCCTCTATACATTGTTGAATTATGGAAAAATAATAGGCTTGACGATGAGTTCTGTGCCAATATGGAATTGGTCTGTGCTGTAAGGTGCATGTTTGTTTTGCAGGTCGATACACGAAACATACTTTTCATTTGTGGAGGTGCCTTCTTTGGCTTGGAAAAGATAGTCTCAGAAAGGTTATACAGTTAATAATCATACGAATTTATGCACCTTTAGGAATTATCCTTCTTCACCTAGAATTTATATGTTTCTCAAAGTACTTTTGTACTGTGCAAGACATCAACATTATCCTGTTGGATTTGGCATACCAATATGTCATGAGCTGCGGAACTGCAGCTGGACAACTGCTCTTCAGGAATCTTGCTCTATTGATGTAGGTTCAATTGCTTCAGCGCTTGGTATTGTTTCAGACATTTTTTTGTTTGATTCTGCATTGACAACAGAGGTCTTTCCGAATGGTTTCCCACTTAGGTTGAAAATGATGATCTTATTGCCTACGGCTTGATCCCAGAATTCATTGGAAGGTTGCCAATAACAGTTGGCCTGACTAATCTTAGTGAAGAGCAATTGGTTCAAGTAGTAAATTTCTTTTAATTTTATAATTTAAAGCAATGTTTCTTAAATTTACCTTCTCAAAGACTACTACCACCTCAAAATTATAGCCAATTCTCTTTGCAGGTGCTCAGGGAGCCCAAAAACGCAATAGGAAAGCAATACAAGAAGCTATTCAAAATGAATGATGTTAGTCTGTTATTCATTTCAGCCAGTGAAATTTTGCAAGCTTTGGCCGAAGAATCTTTTACTTTAAATGATAATTTCTAACCAAGAAACTTATTTATGTTCATGTTTCCTCCATAAGGTCAAGCTTCATTTCACTGATAATGCTTTGCGGATGATAGCAAAGAAGGCAATCGCAAAAGAATCAGGAGCCCGAGGGCTGCGGTCTATAATGGAGGACATTTTGACAGAAGCAATGTTTGAGGTTGACTTCGATTTTGATTTTGCCTTACCAGTGGGTAATCCAGTACCAGCCTGGCTGATAGCACTTTGGTCATTCAATTGCAGATTCCTGATGCTAGAGAGGGGAAAGAGAAGGTAATTGCCGTTCTTGTCGACGAAGAGTCTGTAGGACCACTACACCATCGAGGATGTGGAGCAAAAATTTTTCGGGATGATGGAGCCTTGGAACTGTATGTTTACCACAACAATATCAAGCTGCCCGGGCTGATTCAGAGCAACCCCAGACGCAGACGCATTTTTCGGCTCTGCCTTCTAGTCGCATTATCAGCAACAAAGCTTTGGATTTACCAGACATTTCCTTGGTTTTCATCGATATATGAATGGATTGTATTGATGCTATGCAAGGTCAACACTTTTACACAATGAAATATGATGACAGTTGATTTTCTGTCAACTGTTAAGATAGCAAAAGAATGGCTGGACCTCACTTTCTGCTTTTTTTGGTAGCTTGCAATGCTGTTGCTAAGAATAGATTTTGCAACAACAATTCATGTCATTTACACACTACTCGTAGCAAACACAGACAGTTGTTTTGGTACTGAACAAATAGAAAATGGCTTCCAATAACTGCGCATCAAAATTCTATAGATGTTTGTATGCATCCATTGCAGTAACACAATGCTCAGCTAGAAGCAAGCTAATTTTACTCAAAGATGAATCTTTGGCATAGCCGAAATCACTAATCATGCTCATTATATTGATATATAAACTGACAAGCTATAGTTTATCACTTGAGTGTGATGAACATATTGTGGACATAACTTCTTGTGGTCATCACAGATGTCCCGGCACATCATCTCCACTTTCTGTCGGATTGCCTTGAAGTGCCCCTTCTCCATCGTCTCAACTTTCTGTTGGATTTCCTTGGAGTGCCCCTTCTCCATCGTCTCCACTTTCTGTTGGATTGCCTTGAAGTGCCCCTTCTCCAGCTGATTTAAGGCCTAGCTTACTGAGAAAGCCACCATCCAGGGTGTTTGCGTCAGGAGCAGGCGCTCCTTCATTCTCAGTCTTCCTTTTATGGGCTAGGATAGCTTCAATGGCAGCAGCACTGGCTTTAGCTGCGGCTTCGTCCTTAGCAGCAATCTCTGCCCTCCTTCGCTCCCTCTCTTCCCTGGCAAGAGCCTCTGCCTTCGTCTTCTCTTCTGCAGCCCTGGCTTCTGCTTCAGCCTTTTCCCTCTCCACATCCTCATATAACTTGGTGATGTCATTTTCCCTCCCATCTCCACGTAATGCTCCTTCCAAGAGCTCCTTCATTCCATCGCTGAACACAACCTTCTCATACAAAAGAATACCTTTTGCAACCTTGACTGCATCATCCAACCGGTCAGCAACAATATATGCCTTCAGCAATGTCTCGTAGCTTGAGATGCTTGGGCCAACTCCCTTTTCCTTCATCTGATCTAAGTATTCCTGAGCCTTGTCGACCATACTGAAACCCACCAGGCCATGAATAAGTTTATGATATGCAGTTGCATCAGGCTTCAGCTCCAAATTGTCCATTTTGTCAAAGTAAGATATACCATCATCGATGCGATCAACACTGAAGCATGCTTCCATGAGCAGTAAATATGTCTCCTCATCCGCACCAACACCACTCTCACACATCTCACTGTAGAGCACCTCCACCTTATCTATCAACTGGTTATTCTGCAGGTGCTGAATCAAATTATTATAGGATGCCACATCAGGCACCAGCTTCCATTCCCCCATTCTTCTGAACACTGCAATTGCATCTTCAAATCTCCCAGCAGCACAATAGGCATCAACCATCACGCTGAAGCTTCTCAGATCAACTGCAATCCGCAGTGGAGGGTCATGCTCCCCAAGCATTCTGTCGAACAGCTTAAGTGCATCCTCCAACCTCCCATTCTGCCCAAGCGCATCAACCACCTCATTGTAGCTCTCGGCCCCAAACCTCACCGCCGATTCAACACCGAGTACCTCTTTGTAACACTCCATAGCCTTCTCCTCCATTCCCATAAGGAAGTACGCCTTCATGAGAGTCCCATACACAATGCCATCCAGAACTGGCTCACCCCCAACCTTGCCCTTGAGTTCCTGGTACAGCTCCACGGCTTTGGCTCCATCCCCAGCACCCACGAACCCAGCCATGAGGATTCTGTAGACCTTGGGATCCGGCCCAACGAATCCAGAGTCGAGCATCTCATCCTTGAGCTCGACGGCATCCGCGAGCCGGCCGTGGTCGGCGACGAGGCACTCGACGACGACGCGGTAAGCCGTCGAGGAGGGCGGCACGGGGGAGCCGGGGCGGGCGAGGAGGCGGAGGTGGTGGAGCGCGTCGTCGGCGAGGCGGCGCGCGGCTAGCGCGGAGAGGTAGAGCACGTGCGTGGCGGCGGTGGGCGGGACGGCGGCCTGGAGCGCGAAGCGGTGCAGCGCGAAGAAGTCCTCGAGGCGGCGCGCGCGGAGGAGCGCGGCGAGGACGGCGGCGCAGGTGAAGGACGAGGGGCGGCAGTTGGAGTGGAGCGCGTGGCGGGTGAGGAGCGCCGCCTCCGGGAGGTCGGCCTGCGGGCCGAGAGAGGAGCGCGAGGATCCGGTTGTGGAACGCGAGGCGGGACGGTGCCAGCGTGGGGAGCGGCTCCGCGAGGCGCACGGCCCGCGGGAGGGCGCGGGCGTCGGGGGGCGTCGCGACGAACGTGTCCTTGCGGCGCTCACGGCGGGAGGCCGCGGCCGAGGCGGCGTCCGCGTGCGCGAGCGGGAAGAGCGCCGGAGCGAGGCGGCGCGCCGAGACCGGCTTCGACAGCGACATCCTTCTTCCGCGATTGGGCTTGGGCGACGGCCGCCGTGCGGCGAGGAGGGTTTTGGGGGGGTTTCGACCTTCCGGCAGTGGAGAATTGGGAGCAGGAGATGGGCTGTTCTATTTTTACGCCTTCCCTTAAGGAAAACGTACACTCCAGACCGACATCGAATTGCTTTGTATTCCTTTTTGCGTTTGGAACTTTTTTTTCCCCTTTTTGCCAAACTGTTTCGAGCTTGGAGGTGGATATTGACAGCTTGACGTGTATGGCTAATTGGCTATCCTTTATCAGTGACATTCAACAATTAATTGAAGCTCAAGATTTCACCAGAAATAATCCATGTAGGGCAAACGAAAATAATATTATAATGGGACGTCCAGAAGAATTTGTTCGAAACTGAAAAAAAAAAATCTAAGGCGGACGAAGAACTGGGCATACAGCAGAAGCATATTCTACTGGCAACATTTCCATAAAATAAAAATCAGAGTAATTTTTATGAAGGAAAATTTTTCCCTTATTTTCATGATTCACATCACAGTGACACCAGCATGGCACCACCACACATTTCTCAATCCAATTGGCCCACAAAGGTACGTACTCTATGTCCGTTTCTCGTGCCATGTTTCTAGACAAAAAACGAAATCAAAAGCGAGCACTCGTATATGCCAACGATATATAAAATTCAAATCAAATTACAGTCCAGCCACCTATACCAGCCTCCATTGGCCGCGACGGGCCGACGGCGACTCCGACCACCCCAGAATCTTCGCCGTAATATGCAGAAACCCCTCGTCCCCTCGCCGCTTCGTGCTACCGAAAACACCCCTGGGCAACCAGACCCCTCCAGCGACGACACGCGCCGTGAATAGAGGAAAAGCGCAGGGGTATTCCTGGACATGGACGTGTCGGTACTAACCCAAGCCTAATCGCCACGGCCACACCACTCCTCCACCTCCGCGCGGCGATGCGGAGCAGAAGCAATGGAGGTGCTCAGCTCCAGCCGCTTCGCTAGGGCACTCCTCCCGAGCCTCCTCGACCCGGCCTCCAGGCCCCTCAGCAAGCCCCCGATGCCGCCGCGCCGCCGCCGTCGCTCGCCCGGCTCCTCGCCGCCGCGCTGCTGGGCGGCCGCGCGGGAGGGGAGCTCCCCGACCTCGCGGCCGCGGCCACGGGCGGGGCCGGGATAGGGACGCTGCTCATGAGCACCACGGCGGCGGCGGTGACCAAGGCGCGGGAGAGCCCGTACCTGCTGGCGCTGGCGGCCAACCCGACCTTCGTGTCGGGGCTGGTGGCGTGGGCGGCCGCGCAGGCCGCCAAGGCCCTGCTCACCTCCGTCGTCGAGCGCCGGTGGGACCTGCGGATGCTCTTCAGCTCCGGCGGGATGCCGTCCTCGCACACCGCGCTGTGCACCGCGCTCACCGCCTCCGTCGCGCTCTGCCACGGCGTCAGCGACGCGCTCTTCCCCGTTTGTCTTGGTTTCACTCTTATAGTTATGTACGATGCCACGGGCGTCAGGCGCCACGCCGGAATGCAGGCCGAGGTGAGCTCATGCTTCGCTTGCTTCCTTTTTGTACAGTATCTTGCAATGTTTTGGTGGCATCGTGCTATTCATTTGGGAAATCTTGATTTCGTTGAGCTAGTTTTTCAGTCCGAGGGAAACCCTGCAGCATGATCTTATTCTCATAGAGTACTATTAAATCAGAATGGCTACGATTGTTTTCTATCATTGCGATACTCTGCAAAGCGATAGTTAGTTGGTAGGATATCATGTTCAAGATGTAGATTTTTGTGTGATTGGCTGGACATCATAATCCTGAAAGAAAGAGTTAAATCTAAGAGAATGGATATTTGCTGGTCAATGTGGCTTGGATTTTAGTAGTTTCCATTTCTGGATCTGTATCTCATCTGAGTTACTGTGATACTGTTGTCTTGTCTAGGCTCGTACTTTTTGTTTTTTATGTCTTCTATCTATTCACTGTGGTTTACTTGTTGGGGGGTGATAATTGTGATGCCACTATATGTAGTAATAGCTTAATATTCACCATTAAACATGGTGTTGTTGGCTTTGTCACAGGAAGTTTAGAGCTTCATCTTGGTAGGTTAGATCCATTACAGTGCCCCTTAAACCTGGAGTGCTGTTTTGTTCTGCTCATAGGGTTTTGTTGACGATATAGGCCAGCTCATATATTAAAGCATTGTCATTTGGCAGTTTGCCTGGTGCATAGCCTTTCAATAGCACACAGACTGGCCTGTGGCCTGATGAGCCTACATAGAAAGAAAAAGGCATTCCTGTTCTCAGTTCTATTTGCTGAGACTCCTTTTGTCGATGATATTCAATATAAGACATTGCGACGGTCATCAACCTAGCAGCACTTGCTGTGTAGGCATTTCATAACACTTATTGTATTTTGACAGCTGATGAGCTGAACTATGTTTAGAGTAATCTTGACTATCTCTTGGCGGCATGCTCGAATCTCATCAACCAAGCACGACATGATAGGTTATGATGTGGTGCTTTTCCTGGATGCTACCCGCTGTGTGCTTTGAAGGAAGTTTTGCTCCTCGAATTTCATTGTTACTAGACTAGATGTGCGCCTGTTGTATGTACCTTTAGTCATTTACTAATTACTAATATGTGCATTATGATCACACAGTTACTCAATAAGATCGTTGAGGACCTGTTTGAAGGCCATCCGATTAGTGAAAGAAAACTTAAGGAGTTGTTAGGACATACTCCGTCACAGGTCTTTGCCGGAGCAATTTTAGGCATCGTGGTGGCCTGGTATTGCTGCCAAGGTTGTATTGTTCCCATTTGATGCTGTTATTGTATGGATGATCAAGAAATGAAACTATTCCATCACGTGGATTTTGCATGTAGCTTGACCAGTGTTCTGGAAAATATTTGATCTTCTTGACTAGCTTGATCATTGTTAAGAAGGTCATTATTGCCCTTCTTTCTGGGATTTCCATGTATATATGTAACCTCATAGTATGAAACAATCAAGATATCCATCCTTTCGAGTCTCAATGCCAAAGTTGAGGCTCATTTTTTTATGATCCAATTGTCTCTATTTATTCTGTGGGCAGTGTGATACGAGCTATTCTATCACCGTTTGTGTACTTGAAGATACACATTTGTACATCAGGAACCTGTAATTTTGGTGCTATGTTCCTGTTACGTATAAAGTGGATTCTGCTTTCTGTTACCACAGGTGGAACTTGTCTGTCTTGATAGGTGACATTTGTTGATTTTCTTTTCCTGGGAGGGTCTTGAAAGTGATGTCACCCTCAAGTCCTCAACTGGTGCCGCGAGTATGCCGTTTTACTGACTGATAGCCGTGGATATGTTTTGTTCCCTCGTTATAGAGCGAGAATGAAGACCCTTCTTGGCCCACCCCTGGTTCAGCCTGCCGAAGTGGGGTGGACTGGCTGTAGCCTGTAGGACTTTGGAGCATAAGGGAAAAAAATGATAATGATATGTCACGGATGTCTGTCCCGTAACTCCTGTCCGGACGTGCTCTCAAAAAAATATCTCAACCCCACGGCACCTCCATCCTGCGCCTCCCCTGCGGCGCCTCCATTGGCTAGCGCCCGTCGCCAGCCTCTTCTTACCGTCCCCTGCCCGGCGAGAGCTCGCTGTCAAGCCCCTGTGCCTAGGGCCGACCCCTTCCTCCCAACCAGAGCTCGCCGATGGCCTGCGATCGTCGTTGGCCTATCCCCGCCTCCCTCTCCGCCCGCCTACGACAGCGGCAGCCCGCATCGCGGCCAAAGCTCGCCGATAGCCTGTCCTCATCGCTCCCTCTGCTCGCCTCTAGAAGGGGCCACGACGGTGCCGCCCTCTGCTTGCGCATTCCCCGCTCTGCACTGCGTCGTAGGGAAGAAGAAGGGTGAAAAACGTATGTTGCAAGCGTATGTTTCAAGTGTTTCACATATTTCATTGATATGCTGCAAGTGTTTCACAAGAATGTTGCAAAAGTAGATCGGGATATTGCATATGGTGCAATGGTGGTACACGTATATATGTTGCAAGCTTCTGTCTCTAATGTTTCATTTGTTTTTTCAGACATATGTTGAAGTGTGTTTATCTGGATGTTGCAAATGTTTTATCTAAATGTTGTGTATGTTTTACAATGGTTTTCAAGTGTTTTTCAGGTGTTTTTTTGCAAATGTTTCAGATGCATGTTTTGAGTGTTTCATCAGCCTTCAGATGTATGTTGCAAGTGTTGCATCTGAATGTTTTAAAAGTAGATCGGTATTGCATCTCCTTCCTCGCTATATGCTGCTCGCCTCGGTGTCTCCTCCTCCCAGCACCGACTGGGCATCCGCTGCCCCCTCCCCCTCTTCTCGATGCTGGTGATGTTCGAGGTGTGACCGGCCCGTGTGGGCACGAAATGACGCGGGAAACATACTGCAGGCTCAGGCGTCCGGACGTCCCATCCGTCCAGACCTAGCAAGCCCAAAAAAAGGAAGAAGTCTTTTCCTCCCTCAGTTATCGCAAAAGTTAGTTTTTCTCCCTTAACTACAAAACCATATGTAGGATCTCTAGTTAACCTAGAGGGGGGTGAATAGGCCTGTTAAAACAAAACTTGAACATATGCCAAATTCGACCCGCGGCACTGCCGCTCTAGTCTCGCGGCACGGCCGAACCAGAACAGCGGCACTACCGCCCCTGTAGACAACTTCGAACCACAATTCAAAATCTATGAATCGAAACTTAGATCGGAAAAATTACCGAGCTTTCTGCAGGTAGGTAGTGTAACACCTCGGGTGTTAGCTTTGCATAACTTGACTTGCATAACATGAGCATGAGCATCAAGCATTCATAAATCATCATTTACAATTGAAACATCTGATCGAAACATATGAAACATTGCTTGTTATTCCGTGTTTCTTGGAATATATGCATATGATCATATGTAAATAAATGCTAGTGTGTAATGTTGGTCACTATAACACCTTAGCTACACTTAGATTAACAAAAGGAACCTTGTTCATGAAGGCCACATTTCATGATCAAGCAATTAAGCGATATTGCATGTGTTGACCTGAATAGCTATATGAGTGACTACTACATTAATTGCTTAAATGACCTTGCAAATTGTTTAAACATGCTTAGGATATCATTAGGAACAACTTTGGTATTTAGTGCTAAGGCTAGTTTGGTCATTTAGCCATGGTTTGAGTATGTATCATGTTTTCAAAGTGACATGTTTGACTAAAGTTGAACTATGTGTTAGAGACCTTGCATGGAGGAGTTCACTAAAGCAAAGTTGTAGTGTTTGACATAAGGAACAACTTTTATTTTTATGTCATGGACTAATTTAGCTTCTAACATGTTTGAATTGGACTCACAAAATCAGCTTTTTCTTTGTTTTCAACACTTCAAAAAATTTTCTAAGTGTTTGCTCACTAATGACTGACAAAATGGACTTTGGAGCGAAATAACTTTCGAGTTTGGTCGAGTGTTGGAGCATGATCCTTTAATAACATTTGTATCTGGTACTTAGGACTACGAAAGTCATTTAGATCAATTACGAGTTGGAGCCATGGATTAGCGGTTAAATCAACGAGAAAACTTCGTCGTCGAGCGGGCTCGCCATTGCGTTTCGACTAAGCGAATCGCGACGTCAATGGCCGACCCGGCTTGGACATCGCCAGCGCCGCGTGTCCCCATGCAACGGCAGCGTCGCCCGGCGCCGCCTGACACGCGCAGCCACGCCGGCGCGCTGCTGCGCCTTCATCACCGCCAAGACACCGCCCGAGTCGCCCAGCTCCCATTTCCCTTCTGGCGTCCCTTCTTCCCATTGCAGCTGCGTTGCGGCCGCCATGAGCCGCGCCGCCGTCGCCATATAGCCGCGACCCGCGCCTAGCCACTCTCGGCACCACCACCAAGCTTCACCGTCTTCTCGGCGACCCACTGCTCCCTTCCGTGCTCAGCGACCAAGCTTGGTAAGCCATTGTGCAGCGTTTAAGCTCGCCGGAACTCGCCCATAAGCCGAAATCCACCGGTGGCGGGCGCCTGATCCACCTCTCCATGCGTTAGCTAGTGCGTCGAAGTCGTCTTAGGTAGCTTATGCTCGTCCAAGCCTTAGATCGGGACCCACGGGGTCGTCACCGGCGTATTGCCGTGGTCGACTCCGCCCGTTCCGCCATGGCCGCCGCCGATAGCTCTAGGGTCGGCAATAGGTCCAGTCCTGCGGTTCAGTAGGTTCGCCGAGTCGTATAGGTCATACCGTGATGACCTCACCGCGCCGTGGCTTCGCCCGTCGACGAAGCCGCTGTGACAGCAGTGGTGCCCAGCCAGCGTCGCCGCTGCTCTGCTCCGTGTCAGCAGCGTGGGGTCCCGTGACAGCGGGTCCCACTGTCAAATGACAATGATAGTGAAGGCTAACCCATTTTGAATCCAGTTTTTGATTTGTTTTGTGAAATTTGTATCTTCAGTTTGGTAGCTCCAAAAATTGTGAAATAAATATGGTTGTGTTGCTTAGGAAGTGTAGTATTTAGTAAAAATATGTTCTTGGCTTCCACAGTAGAAATTTCTGGAGATTTAAATAGGGATTTCAAAGGTGCTTTTGAATGCATTCAAATTTGTTTATTTTATATCAAGAGTTCCTGTGCTCCAAAAATTATGAAATTTTTGTGGTAGGCTATTCTTGTTATATATGAGCTGGGATAAAATTCGAAGACCAGTGCATGTGTAGATCTATAGTTATAGATTTTTCTTTTATAAATAGTTAATCCTTGCATGAATTTTTATAAATTAATTATGAGTCCAAAATTCATGAAATTTGTTGGAGGTAATACTAGTACCATATGGATGTTAGGAAAAATAAGAAATCTGTTGCTTGACACTTTTCAATAGGATTTTCCATTTATGCTATTTCAAGCCTTGCTTCCCTATCATTTTGTATAGGATGTTCTACTTAGTAAAATGACATGAAATTTTTATAGTAGTCCTTTGATAGCAGTAGTAAGGCTCTGTAAATTTTGAGAATTTATTAAGCACATATGATATATATTTATTATTTAACCTAGATATTTAAATAAAATAATAAAGGCAATCTAATAAATAGTTTGGGCTTC